GGGAGTTGAAGTCCACAAGTCTTAAAGTTGCCAAGGTTGGACACCCCTGCTCTATAGATTGTAAGACAGTTCATAAAGAATGGTTACCTCATAGGACCTAATAACATTTAAATGAAGCCCAAGGGGAGAGAAATACATTCATAACCACTGCAACGTCTGTTTCCTTTTAATATCTGCTTAGGCTTTTCTTGGATTCCTAGACCAATTCTGTGAACTGAACTGCAATATTTTTAAAAATGATTTTATGCCACATTAGATTGGGACATAGTACATACATCATATACCATAGTAAAGACCCTTAAGCAATGTGTTGTGTTTAAAGTTAAATATGCAAACCCAACCATTCTGACTGATAGTTTTTGGCTAAATGTGTTGGGTACAGCCAACCAATAGTGGTTTATTCAATGAATTGTGGTTATTCAAGCCATGTCTTAGCACAATATATGAACCAGTTCGATATGGTTCCTCAAAACAAAAGTTCTTGGAAAGGGTAATTAAATGTCCCCAAACTAGCCATAATACTATTGCCAGTTCTCTAAGGGCAGTTCTCACAGGGAAAAAATACTCACACGAGGAATATCCACTAGGGAAGCTTTTGCGCCCTTCAATCACTACTTGTGCATCTCCTGTGCACAAGAACTGATCAGTTGCCCGTCCATCTGGAAAGCAGCGGTAGAAGAAATCAGGCCGAGGCCTAGAAGAAAAGTGTAGGTCAAGGTTTCTCAACTTCAGGAAGATGGAGAAGAACTGAGGCAAAAAGCTAGCCCGAATCTCCAATGTTGCTGACAGGTCTAGACTCTATTGTGGTACCTACAAATACCTCACTCCATATCCAATATCCCCTATTTGACTTCTATATTGTGAGATCATCTCTCTCTTCTCATCAGAGCTTGAGCTGTTGTAGATGTGATTCTCCCCAAATATTATCCTTTACAATAGGGCTGTAAGAGGGGATGATTGACTTAAAACTTCACTGTGATGTCTATAGCTGAGTAGGGCCTAGAACTTAAGATGTCCAGTCCAACATCTTAATTAAAGCATTAATAGCTATAAATACCATAAAAACAGATCAGCTAGATACTCCTGTCCTCTCCACTAGGCTTGTTGGACTTCTGAAAGAGAAGGAAATCCCATGACATCCCTTCCTCTGTGTGGAAGAAGGGAAATCTTTTCTCTATCGGTGGCCCTTTTTTTAAGGGAGGAAGGAAGTGGGTGGAAAAATAAGGATTAAGGAAAGGAGAGAAGAAGGTAACTTCATGGACGATGAGAAAGCATCATAACTTGCCTATCAAGGAAAGTATCCAGTGATACTTTTAACTTGGATTGCAGAAAGGAAAAATTATGGAGTGATGGAGCAAATAAGACTGTTTCCAAAAGTGGAATGGAGACACCAATGGGAGAAAAATGATATTTTTCAACATACTCTTTGGATGATACCTTTAGAAAGAAATACAAGGGAACATTTCTGTTGTTTCTTATGTAACATTACAGGAAGTGTTCAAACTTAAATAAATGCTCTTCCATATTGCCATCTGGTTTCTTCCACTTCATTTCTGGCCCTCTCACATTACTATCTCAGAATATCAGCTCTGCCTATAAGCAACCAGAGGGGAAAATGCTAGCTCTTTCTCTAAAATTGCCAGAAAAGAACCTTACCTGCCCACGGCCAGCTTTACAACATTGGTGAAGACACCATTCAGGGCAAGTGCCAAGCTAATAGCTGAACCAAAGAAAAACAAAGCAATTCCAGTTTAGATCCCCATGACAGACCAAGGGAAACAACTGGACAGAAATACAAGTACAATATCTTTAAAACAATGCAGCTCAATGGGTCTCAACAGTCAATTTGTTTTGTATGGGAAATCCAAATTTGGGGTTACCATGAATAAGCAGCTTGCCATGTCCTATCAGCAAGTCTGGTAAGGAAACTAGAATCACCCTCCATAAGTTTTTATTGAAATATTCATTCACTCACTCACTCACTCATTCTAGATTGCCCATCTCCCTCAAAGAGGGATGGATGCAGATGGAATCCTGGTTTATTATTCCCAACATTAAGGTGACAACAAACTTCTCATCTCTTCCCTACTAGGCCAACAGGACAAATTTGACACAATGAACCTACTGCCTTATTCAGCAATTTAATGCAACCCCCAATTTTCTGCAAACATCATCCCCCCTGTGCTCACCCAAGCATGCTTCCCGGGTATCTTCTTTGCCAGCCTTCATGAAGAATTTGGCCAGGAAAATCAAGACCAAAGGAGACACAAAGGAAATGAACTGCAACAAGAGGATCAAGATTCAAATAAGTGTTACACTTACAAAAGCAAAACAAAGCTGCACAAATGATTAAAGAAAAAGACACTGGGACATTTCTTAGCTTTAAAATAGGATTGTACTACCTTTTACAGAGAAGAGGGTTAATTTAAGCTCTTTGGATGCTTGCTGGGAATTATGCTAAAATAACAGTTTTCAGAAAAATGGGCATTTCTGCCCCCAAAAATGAGAGCAAGCAATGTGCACAGGACTTCATTTGGACCAGTGTTTTTCAAGTTTGACAACTTTAAGGTGTATGGACTTCAACTCCCAGAATTCCCCAGGCAGTAGAGAATTCTGGGAGTTGGGAATCCATACATCTTAAAGCTGTGAAGTTTGAAAGACACAGATTTAGACTTAACAGACCCAGATGAACAAAAATAAACCACAGAAAAACAATTCCATGCCTCCCCAAAACACATGACATGTACTGGAAATTTTAGCCACCCCACCTTATACCACTCAGTTTCACTTTGTTCTGTCTAAAAATGCTATTTTTCTTTAAGGTTTGCTTCTGGCTGACCTACCATTGTCCATCACCTTTTTTGCTCTGAAACAACAAAGATTTGATCATCTGGAAGCATGCAGCTACATGTTTTGAAGCATACAGTGGCAGTCCTTTCAAAGCATGAAATAAAGGTTTTTAACCATAAGATGATTCTATTTTAATGTATGTGTGTGTGGGAAATAACTTTCTAATAGTAAAGATGGTTTCACAATGGAAAAAATTAACAAGGAAATTGGTGAGTATCCTTTTTCCAAGTCTCTTCAAACAGAGGCTAGAGAGCCATCTGGATTGGGGTGCTTTAATTTGGGTTCATTGCACTGAGCAAAAGTCTGGGCTTAATCGAAGCAAAGTTCTGCTTGCCAAGAAACAGGCATGCAAATAAAAGTTGAAGGACGAATGAACAAAACACTTACAAATATAGACCTGGTGAGCACATGGTCAGACTCTATGTAGGGATTTTTGTAGAGCCACATTTCTTCAGGTTGGATGACTCGCTGGAAAGGTGGCAACACTTGAGTGAACCTAAAGAAAGTAGGATCCCAAAATGTTTGGCTCTGTAAGTATTATGGGCTTTCCATAGCAATTTACAGCACCACATTGCTCTTTCAGTTACATGAAATCATACAACCTTGGTCCATGAATACAATATATCTTAATCCCAGTATTTGTAAACATTTGTCTAGCCCTGGGCTGTAATAAAATATCTTTCTAATTCTATGTAATGCAGCACAGTTTGTCATCTCTTTAACCTTAACCCATCTTCCCCAGGGCGAAAATAAAGGATAATAGTAATAATAATAATACCACCACCAACAACATCTATCACATACTGAGGTATTGCAAGACTACAAACAACGTCAAACACAGTCGCTCAGATGGTCCACTGGAACTTGTGTCACAACTACCATCTGCCTGTAGCAAAGAACTGGTGGGATCATAAGCCTGAAAAAAGTGATCGAAAATGAGCATGCAAAACTACTGTGGGACTTCCGAATACAGACTGACAAAGTTTTAGAACATAATACCCCGGATATCACGATTGTGGAGAAGAAAAAAGTGTGGATCATCGACATTGCCATACCTGGTGACAGCAGAATCGACGAGAAACTTGAAAAAGTCACCAGATAACAGGACTTGAGAATCGAACTGCAGAGACTCTGGCATAAACCAGTGCAGGTGGTTCCAGTGGTACTCAGCACACTGGGTGCTGTGCCTAAAGACCTAGGCAAGCACTTAAAAACAACTGGCACTGACAAGATCACCATTGGTCAGCTGCAGAAGGCCACCTTACTGGGATCTGCTTGCATAATCCGCCGATACATCACGCAGTCCTAAACGCTTGGGAAGGGTTTGACTAATGATTTGTGATACGAAACCCAGCATAAACTCGTTTGCTGTGTATACTGTCATTTCTATGTATAATAATAATAATAATAATAATAATAATAATAATAGTAATAATAATAGTAATAATAATAGTAATAATAATAGTAATAATAATAGTAATAATAGTAATGTTTATAATCCAAAAGACAGCAGGCAAAGAAAAGGGAGAATGGTGGTTCTTATAACCAGATAGAACAAATTCCAATTTGTCTTTCTCTTCTCTGAATCTCTTTGGGATGTGACTACATATAGAAAATGCAAGGCAGGTATCAGCTGTCTTTGATGGAGATTGACATTTTTGTTCCAGGCATTTGAAATCCAAGCACTTCCTGGAGGTCTTTGGCCCCTCCAACCATTGTATCTTATGTCCCTGAGGTTAACTGCAACGCACCTCAGCCACCTAGTTCTAAGGATCACAACTAACAACATAAACCCTCTGCTGGTGGGAATTCTGGAACGAAGCCCCTCCCCCAGCGATCCTCTCCTCTGCCCCTCATTTGCAGGCTCCAAAAGAACAGGCCAGCATCTAGCACCAGCCTATGTATTCCCCGCGAGATGCCCAGCCTGACGCACAGCGCAAAAATGCCACCAAACACTGCAGGTGCCTCCTTCTTTTGAGGGCCTTCAGCCCACAGAAGGCATGCCATTCGGCTCAGGCCAATTCCTAGCAACCACGACGCCGAGAAGGCCGCCCCAGCTTTCCGAAAAGCCACGCAACTTCTTTGCAAGCCCGGAAAAGCTCCAGGTGGGGAGGAAGGCGTGGGAATGGGAACCGTCCCCAAAGAAAAGGGAGAGCAACGCCCCTTCCCTTTTCTGCTCCTGCCTCGCGACCCCTACCGGAGATGGAGGCCCTCCCACTCCTCGGCACTCACAAGAAGAGACCCAGCAGCAACGCGCGCACCCCCACTTCCAGCAGCAGGGTTAGCCCCGCGCGCGGGATCGGCCACATCCTACACGCCTGCTGCAGCTGCGAGCCACGCGGCGCGCGCTCCCGCTCGCGTCCCGGGGAGGAAAGGAGGGCGGAGCCTCGCTCGCTTTTTCTCTCTCTCCTTCCCTCCCCTCCCTTTCGGAGGCGGGCAGCGGAGTCAAAACGAAGCGAGTCATCCCGGCTGAAGTGGGAGAGGAAGAGCGCAGGAGGCGCTGTTGGTTCCTTGCGTTAACCCGCTTTGGGGAGGGTGGCGAGGGGACAAGAAATCCGGAACCGTAAGTGATCAAAGGAAGATATTTGTAACTCAGGGTTCAAATGAAGGATCCTTGGTGCTTCATTACTATTATCCTTCTCATCTTTCCGATTACCTATTTCCTTGGCTTCTTATGACTATAACTTAGAATAGAATAGAATAGAATAGGTTTGTCAGTTTGAATGTACACTAATCAACTTACATTAAAATGACATTTCATTGCATACAGCTCAAAGGGTCTTTATATCTTATGATTTATGTTGATTGCTTATTTAGTATCATATCACTATCACTGAGTATTGTGTCTTACAATTTATGATGATTGTATTTTATGATGATCATGATTTATCACTTGTTGCTTAGAGCTTATGCACCTGAGACACATTCCTTGTGTATCCAATCACACTTGGCCAATAAAGAATTCTGTTCTATTACCAAAGTAGATAATGTCATCAGTGGTCCCAATGATGTTACCTAGTTTGGGTGATGAAACATCTGCAAGAAAACCACCCAAATCAGAGAGTACCAATGTCATGCCCCTGGTGGAGACTGACTCTGAGGAAGAGGAGAAACAGCCAACAGGGAGTGGAAGTGTGGCTCCAGAGGTGGTGGTGGAGACCCAGGCCCTATCCATCTTAGGGCACAAAGGGAGGAGAGGATCAGGGTAAAATGTGGTCTACTCAGGAGGAGAGGGCCATGATCCTCTTCATGGGTTGCAGGTGTGAGATCTGCATAAAAGGTTGGACCTGCCTGCTAGCAGACACTAGAGATAAATTAGTGTTTTATTCCTAAAGAAGGTTTATCCTGGTTATCTTCCTGAAGTTGGCAATTATCCTGGTCTGTCGTGGAACTTTATTCAGTGGTTTGTTTTTGGTTTTTGCTTTGTTATCAGCTCTTTGAATTTGAACTGTGTTTCTTTCCTTTGAAATGTTATTTTGAAAATAGTTTATTCCTCCACTGTGAACAATTAAACAGTGAAGCCAAGTTGAAGGCATTAAAGGACTTTTATTTACGTTTTGGTTTTTGTTATATTTCTGATATACTCTGGGTCATCACAACCAAGGAGCCCAGGGGCTGAGTATGGACAACAGGCTGAGTCCTTCATCTCTGCACTCCCCTCACTGCCACCTAGCCAACCAAGGTTAACCTCAGTCAAGCTTGTTGGCCAATGCCATCTGCTGCTTAGCCAACTTGTGTGAATGCAGTCATTGTGGTTTTGCAAAGAGTTATGGTGATTGTGACTTTCCCAACAGTTAAACTGGGGCTTTATTTGAGCAGGTTTATTTATATCTATATCATCTCAGTGGCGCAGTGGTTAAAGTGCAGTACTGCAGCCTACTTCTGCTGCAGCCAGCTGCCTGAAATTTGGCAGTTCAAATCCCACCAAGCTCAAGCTTGACTCAGCCTTCCATCCTTCCAAGGTGGGTAAAATGAAGACCTAGATGGTTGGGGGCAATATGCTGACTCTGTAAACTGCTTTCAGAGAGCTGTAAAGCGGTATATAGGTCTAAGTTATAACGGGACTAAAAAAGTGACTCATGACATTTTTCACTGTTACCATCTTTGTCGCATCCCCAAGATTATCTGATCAAAATTCAGATGCTTGGCAATTGGTTCATATTTATAACCATTCAGTGGTGAGATTCAGCCAGTTCGCACCACTTTGCAAGAACCAGTTGTTAATATTCTGAGCGGTTTGGTGAACTGGTTGTTGGAAGAACTCATTAGGGCAGAGAATCAGTTGTTTGAATCCCACCACTGTGACCATTGCTGTGTCCCAAGGTCATGATTCACTTAACCCAGGGGTCTCCAACCTTGGCAACTTTCAGCCTGGAGGACTTCAACTCCCAGAATTCCCCAGCCAGC